TATTTGGACCTCTATACTGCTCTCAAATGTAGAAGGTGTAATTTGTATTGTAGTGGAGGTTATAGAGTTGGTGGTGATGGTGGTGGTGATATGGTGTTAAGAAGTCATGTTGTTTCCTCTGTAGCCAGTAATGTTAAATGCATTTTTGTCTGTGTAGCCTCAGCTCATAAAGATATCCCTAAATGCCATCAAACTTAGTGGGGGGTGAGGGAGGATATTTTCTGCTCCACTTGCCATCAAAGAAGATTAATCAGAACCTGTAACTTTTCAGAAAACATAACAGCAAAGGGCCTTGAAGCTGGAGCCCTCCCAGTCTGGGAGTGGGGGTAGAGAGAGGGAAGAGAACAGGGCAGCCCCCAGGCAGGAGAAGAACGTCTCTTAGCATTTACCAGACAAAGCCTGGGTGCATCTAATTATGATTATTAAAACAATTTCCATGACGATGTCTAATATTATGTTAATTTGAAAACAACTGTGTATGAAAACTGTCGACTATAATACCTAAATTCATTTAATGAAACACATCGTTAAGGCAATTAAACCTCCTGGATGTGATTAAGAAACATAATTACGACACTGTTCTGCGCCATAATTGGGTGTCTTTAATCAAGGGGTAAAGTGATCAGCAACACAGCCATTAGTTTGTATTGTTCTGGCCCTGCTGTCCATCATTCTGATTAGGAATTAACCACAGCCACCACCAGTCGGATTTTTTTTTTCCTTTTGCATATTAACATTGTAGGGGACACATTTGCTGCAAGATTTACTGCTTAATATTTCTCATTATTAAAAGGCCTCCTTGAAATACTTCCTCTACAACCTCTGTACTGTTCGACTATTATTAGGAATTGGGCAGAATAACAAATCTTGAAATTCAGAAGGAAAAAAAAAAAAAGAAATACTTACCCTTTAATCACTCAGCCTCCAGGTTTAGTCCTGAAGAGACTTGAAATGGATGGGGGTGGGAGCAAGAGAGGTAATTTGAAAATACCTTGAAATGTCAGATGAATAAGCAACTATTAAATGTACCAGAATTAATGGTGTTTATTTCATTTTAATAATTTCAGACAAATCAACCTTCTTTCTATACCTAAGAGTTTCAGCATGTGGTTGTAGGAATAGTGTGGGACATCTGAAAGAACAGAAGGTCTTCCAATTTACTTATGTGGCTCTCCCTACCCTAACCCCAAACTTTTCAAAATTTATGCTGCAGCAGTTTTTGGAGAAAAACGGTGGTTGGAGTGAGAACATTTTCACCCTCCCGACAAAACACATGAGGCCGCATTTCTTCTGAGGTTTGAGCCCTGAATTTCCGCTTGATCTGGAGAGTTTGGGCCATACATCTCTGGGCTGGGCCCCAGATGTGAGCATAGCTTGGGCAGCTGGATCAAGACTGGGTGACTGAACACCAGGGGGTCCAGTGTGTTCTTGACGAAGTGCCCTTGGGCCAGAGCAGGCAGTCAAGCCCTCAAGACTGTGGAGAGTGGCAGAGCATAGAGGTTCGCTGGGGAGACTGCTCTGGCACCCACCGCGCCTGGGGACACTTCTACCAGGCGCACCTCGCCAGGCCAATCCCTCAGTTTGGGTGCCTTAGGGAACTAGGAGTGTGCAGATGAATCCCAGGGAAAACTTAAGTTTCACTTGGCTTTTTAGACCCACTTTGAGTCTCTGGTCAGCTTGACACTGGACACAGAAGCTGCAGCTTTTCATTTACCCAGGACCAACAAATGATCATCTTCAGAAAGCTCTCTAGTTACCCCTCCTCCGCTCTTTGAGTGGTGCGTGTGTGTGTGCGCGCGCGCCCGTGTGCGCGCTTTGCAGTGCGCTCTGGACTGCAACTGGCAACCCCTCCAAGACCCTGTTTTAAACCGAAATTCTTCTTCTCGTCGCCCCACTGCCCATCCTCACGGTCGACAGTCCCCTAGGGAAGACCGAGTCTCACGGAGTTTCCTTTTTCCACGCACTCTTGGTCACTGCCGCCAGAACCGAACCTTTCTATGCGACCCCGACCCTGCAATCGCTCCAGGAAGTGGCATTGACTTTTCCAATGTAATGACTTATGAAAGATATAATCATGTGTTAAATTGAATCCTCCGTTTAACTGTTAATGGTGTGCTCTGGGCACATTTACGTATTAGATGCTATGGTAACTAATTACCACTAGGAAAAAGGATAATACACTTCCCAGACTTTGAAAAATAATGATGGGAGTTCACTTCCCGGCTCGCAGCACATTGTAGCGGCTCTGCCCGGCGGAGCGAGGGAAGAGAGTGGAGATCCGAAAGTGTGCTCCTGGAACGCGGGAGGTAATGAATCCTGGTCAGACTAGGCTTCTCAAGTCAAACCTTTAATGAAAATGAGATTCAGCTGGGGAAGTGGAGGGCGGGCGTGGGGCGCCAACTACACAAAGATGCCTCTACACCAAATTTAACTGCAAAACCTTAACATCAGAAACAATCGGGTTTTCTTTTCATTAAAATGCAGATCAGACTAAATTATCCACGTGCCAAGAAACTTTATATCAATGAAAAATTTTTGTTGTTGTTTTGTGGGCAAAATAATCCAGCCTGTCTCCTGTGAGCTCTGCGTTGGCATTTGTAACTCGAAAGTCCCATTATTATTTCTCCTTATAAGTTTTAGAATAAAGTTCAGGGATATTTAAAGGATCCATTATTTACAAATGTTTCTCAATCTTAGAGATTTCATTTTTTATTAGGAGGATGGTCACAACTCAAATCTGCTGTTAATAGAGGTGTTTAGAGATGAGAATTTAAACATAAAAAATGTTTCATGACCTAATCTCATTTTATACATTTATTCTGCTTTGGGAATTACTAAAGAATTTCAAGCAAGGATTTTTCTGTTGAGTATCCTCATCTACTCTTTAAAAAGAGAAGATAAATAGTACCTTCTTCTGTGAGAGACTCTGATTATGTACCTAAATAGTTAAAACATTAAATCATGCATTGCTGATTCAAGTAAGTGCAGCTATATTTGCCATGTACGATTTCTTTGCAGAATTATGGTCAAAATTCAGATGCTACTCTGAGCCTATGCCCTTCATTTAGAGGAAAAGACATGTATTTATTGAATTCCGATGAATCAGGGAGTGGGGTCAATACATACATACCTGGGTCTTGGAGAAGCATCAGGCATACATTTAAAGTATAGGTTTCTCAAAAGGGGTTTTTTTTTTTTAATCTATAATTATTCAACAAATTAATCTCTTTGAACAACTTAGAAAATTGTTTTTTTTTTATGAAAGCAAAACTAATTATTTGAACTATGGAGGATATGGGTGGCACACATCCTCACTTTATCTCTGTTACTCAGGTGTTATTTGTTGCCCTACAAGATAGTTATGGTCAATTATCTTTGAAAGTCAAGGATTTATGAAGATCTTAAACTTGTTAAGTCCTGGAATCTTTCCTTAGTTTTAACTTTTTGTCAATATTGTTTCATCTTCTCTAAAGATGAAAAGTTTTTATAACTTTTCTGTAAATATAAATTTGTTAAAGGTTTTAAAAAATGAGCATCTAATTGTACAACATGGAGAAAGTATTACTACATGTATACTATTAACTTCATCAAAAATTTAAAAGTGATTTCAAATACTTTTAAAAATATTCCATCTAAGGTATAAAACAAAGACACTTATAAAACTTTATACTGCTTAATTCTTAGAATTGTGGGATTGAAGCACTTTTCATTTAAAAAAATTAACAATAAAGCAAAATGTTTTTGTTATCTATCAGTAATATGATATATATTTTATGTTAACTACAATGGCTAGCTCTTAGAAGTAAAAGTTATTTGGAGTATGTGTTCCCTTATAAGCAAATAAAATCTACAACTAGTGCATGCTTCCTACTTACAGATGTTTAAATTTGACTCTATAATGAATCACTAGATAGTAATACCTTTACCTGTTATTTCCATTTCTCTAGTTTTCGTATAAGCACAAATTGCTGTAAGAGATATAAAAATGCTTCAAGATTTTATCTCTAAATATGTATTTTCTGTGTAGTCTGCAAAATGTCACGTCTCACCTTATAAAAATCAACACATTTAGGAGTTGAGAACATAAACTATACTTTAATTAATAATAATAAACAATATCAAATTCTTTTTTTAAAATCCAGCATAACTATCAGTATTTTGCATCTATATCTTGAATAAAAAAATCACATCACTCACATGATCATGACTAAATCCAGAAAGTTCTGCAAATTTTTATTTATTGTTTTATTAAGTAAAATTGAAAGTAAAGATAATGACTTCACAGATTGCCCACTTAATGGGCAATTTACCCTTGTTGATAAATAAATAATATTGAAGTGATTACTTCAAATGAATAGGAGGACCTTCCAGCAGAGATTAGCTCCTGTTACCTGCTAACAGAAGCACCTTCTAACAGAACTCTCAATGTGTGATGTGAGTTCAAGTAAAATGTTAGTGACTCACACAAATGTTCTTTAGAAAAGTCAAGTATCCCAGTGAAATACTATAGGTACAGTTGCTAAAAGAGCCACATTTCATTATTTCACATTCACGTTTTCATCAACTGTATTGTATTACACACTTTATGATTTGCATTTCAGTTTTATGAATAAATTGAATACTGTCCAAATATCACTCAGCTTTATTCATTATCTGTGATAAAGTGAAGAAAACTGCAGAAGACAAAAAGATCACATCTAATGAGATCTCCCATTTTCTGTTGTTTTTGTATGTCTCTTTCTCCACAGAATAATACTGAGTATTAAGAAAGGTAGCTCAGCCAGCTAAAAATAAACATTATGAAACTTGGTAATATTTTTTGGATCTGTTTTTACCTCACATATAAACAACAATGTTAAAATACAATGAAAAATATTCTGACTATAAAATGCATTTTAAAGACAGCAGCATCATTTTCCAAATAATTTGCTATTTGTAATAAAATCTTCTGTCACCCAATTTATTCCGAGTAGGGAAATAAGGAGACATAATCATTAATCTGTGAGTCAAAAGTTGATTTATTGAATTTCTGTTGTAAATAAAAGAACACTAAATATTACATTTGCAAAATAATTGTATTTCTTGCTTAACATTTTAAGTTTACTTTCCTATGATCCACACATATGCCATTTTAAAAATCAAAAGATAATAGTAAACAAATATATCAGGACTATTGCTTTTTATAATTCACAGCACTTTTCTAAAAAACATTTAAAAACATAGCCATGGCCAAATTATCACCTATTTAAGACTGCTGAATTGTTTTTTTTCACCAATTATATTTAACATACCCTAGAAGGTAATATAAACAAAATAAACGTTTAAGCTAAAATGTTCAAACCTCAATGATCAATGATTTAGAATTACACTCTGCAGTAGAGTAAGTAATAATTGCTTTAGATAAATACTACTGTTTTATGAGACTGCTCATTTTAATTTAAAATAATGCTATAGGGAATGCAATCTTAGCATGCTTTTTCTTAATTGAGTATGTAAATATGAATACCTAATAATGCAGTTCAAGTAAAAAATAGTTTGGCAAATTTAACAGGTTAAAAAAGTGCACATTTTAAGGGCATGAGATCCTTAGTTAAATAATTATTGACATTCTTTCATACTGAGATCAAAAACCTTGATAAACTTTGTGCTTTAGTCTTTGATGGGTTTTAAGACTCCACTGTTAAATTAGAAGATGCTTAATGGAAATATTACTAAAATCATTTTTTAAATAAAATAAGCACAAATAATCATGTAAATTTTGAGCATGGAAGTTCCTTTGCCTTAGACACATGACTCAAAACTTAATGACAAAATGGATGTGATAGGATGAATTGTGCCAGGGAAGATAAAACCAAGGAGACCAAAGTTCACACATACTTTCCCTATCAGCAATCCTGAGTTAGTGATAAATGGCTTTAAGAAAAAAATCCTTCAAGGCATTTACCTTCCTCTAACCAGATGACGGCTTCATTATTATTGGTCAGTGATATAAAATGATAACTTGATTATTATTTATTTCCTTTAAAACTTAGGTGAAGCTGTAAAAATAAAAAGATGGATTTTTATAATATATAAAATAATTTCAAAACCTTTTGGAGCCTCACTGGCCATTTGGTTTTGTTCATAGGATCACAATATCAATTGGATAATTGAATGCATAGTGTCATATCTAGAATAGAGGAAGTGCCCAATGCTTGATTGAATAGATGAATAATGAATTAATTAATGACCAGAAAATTATTCCCTCTACCATAATGATTTTTAAAAGGCACAACATTTTTAAGTATCTCTGTTAAAGTTTGTAATCGTATATAGCATTGTATTTTTCAAAATAAGTTCATGCATATAACTATGCTTAAATTGTTGCAATTAAACCAAGATGTCAAAAGGTCTAATTATTATTTTTTTTGCTAATGAGAATACTGAAGTAATGAGAGGCAAAGTAACTTGTTGACGATAACAAACTAATTATGACACAACTAGAATCCATGTCTTTTGCTTATTTCTTCATGACTTTTTTTTTCTATTCATAATCACTTTAGTAACCGGATTTAAATCTATCATATGACTCTCTTGCTTTGTTTTGGTTCTACTGTCCATTCCTTTTATATAATCTTTTCTCTGCCATCTTGATTTTTACTTTCTATTCTAAATTCCTGTATGCACTTCTAAATTCCTTTATACACTTCTATATATTAAGTAGAAATTAGAATGCAATTTTTTTTTGTATTTACTCTGCTACAACATCATGGAAGTATACTACTAAGTTGAATTTAAGAATATGGAAGTTTCAGGAAACAAAAAATATGAAGGTTTCCACTTCAGGACAGATGGTGGACTAGATGTTCTAGTACAATAGTACAAAGTGGATGAAATATGCTTTGAGGCAGGTAGGAGATAAAGTCCAGGGCTGGAGCTGGGCTCAAGTGTGTGTGTGTGTGTGTGTGTGTGTGTGTGTGTGTGCGTGTGTGTGTAATTCAAGACTCTGCAGAGCCAACACACTTAGTAGGTGAACAGAAAAATACTTTTCAGAGCAAGACTGTGGATATATTTGCCTGTCTCAGCCTTGTGTCTGGGTGAAATGAACAAGCAAATGTCTCTTCTGTCTATTCCTAATCATGGGGTTACATTCTACCTGACTTAGGGCTAGAATTCACGACACCTGTGTCATGCCTCGCCTCCTCCCAAATTCTCAAGCTGAAAATTTCAATCGATCTGAGTTTGATGGTAACATCAGCATTGGGACAAAAGCAATAACACATTTTCTCTGGAGGAATAAACTTTAAAAACTTGGGTCTTAAAATAAACATTTCCAGAGATAAAATTCCAAGGAACATGAGCTTGGTATTTAAGCTATCCCAAGTAAGTTAAAGAAAAATAAACTAGAGAATCAAACACACAAAACACCAATGAATTGGCAATATTAGATACAGAATACAAAGTATGTTTTCTTAATATAGTTAAAAGAAATGAAAGAGCATTGAGTATATGATGAAAGAACAAGGTATTATGAAATAAAGAACAAAAGAGAATTATCAGACTGGAAAAATGTAACTATTAAACTTAGTAAAGGCAATGGAATGGAGAACTTAAAGGTTTACAACTGGACTCAAAATCAACCGTGGAGACCCCACAGATGGGGAAGGGACAGATGGATCTAAGGATAGAGCAAACAAATTTGGAATGTCTTGGGGAGAGTGCAGACTGTCACAGACTAAATGTGTGTGTGAGGTGGGCCAGTTGGAGAAGAGTTTGTAGAAGCCCAGAGCTGAGGGTTGCTGGGCATAGTAGGAGGATGGGGCGAGAGAGTTTTGAAGTTCTGCTTTGGCATCTCTCCCACATTAATTGTCTCACTGAACACAGGATCAATCACTGAGTGAACACATCATTAAAATATAGTGAGTGCAATCGGGGGAGGCTGCAGCAGAAATATTTTGAGTTCATGATCAGCCTCAGCAACTTAGTGAGACCCTGTCTCAAAAAATAAAAAGGGCTGGGGATGTGGCTTAGTGGCAAGACTTGGGTTCAATCCCCAGTATCAAAATGAAACAAAGCGAAACACAATGAGTGTACATTATGGAATGCTATGGTGCACTTAACTGCAATAGAGTAAATGTGAATATATTTTTGAAAACACAAGCCTTTATACAAAAGTTGAGAAGGATATGATTTATAGAGAATATATTTATGTAAGTTAAAAATATGCCCAAGATATTTACAAATATAAAAGTATACACATCAAAAGGTACACACTAAACACTTTAGAATGCTTGTCTGAGATGAGGGAGGTATGATAAAATGGAATAAATAAAGCCAGAAGGGTGTTGCTTAGACCAACTATAATTGTATACCATGAACTAAAGAGTGTAAGAAGTATGATTACCCAAACTTGTAAACCTGAGGTTTAATATATAAAAGAAGAAACAAACTCAATATATGGGTTAACGAGCAGATTAGATATACTATATGGAAAAGAAACTAGAAATATAAAGAAATTATCTCAAATGTGAGAGACGAAAAATGTGGGGAGAAAAGGCTACACAACCTAGAAGATACAGTGAGAAGATGTAGTATAGCATCTGAGAGGGGTGATCAAGAGAGGGTGGCCGAGTAATCCTTCCTACATGAAATACCTCCTTCTCATATTCAAGAAGCAGCATGAGACATGAAAGAGGCTAAGAACATCAAAAGCAAACAGAAGAAGTCCAAGTGGTCATAGTTAAGCAGTGAGCCATCGAGTAACCGTTAACCCCTCAAAAACAAGAACAGAAGCCGCAGGAACACGCGACATCTTCAAAGTTCTATGAGGAAATTACTATCAGTTTATGTTTGTGCATCCAGCAACACCAACAACTTTTCAAGAATGAGGACATTTAGCAATCCCACTTCTGGCTGTTTACTCTGCAGATCTGAAATCAGTTTGTTGAAGAGAGATCTGTACTCCTATATTCACTGCAGCACTACTGACAATAGCCAAGACAGGGAATCACCCTATGGATACATCAAAAGACAAACAGATAAAGAGCATATATAGTATTTTATCATGTACAATGAGGTATATGCACATGCTAAAATACTATTCAGCCTTAAAAAAGAAGGAAATCCTGGCATTTGTGAGAACATGGATGAAAGTGAAGAACCTTATGCTAAGTGAAATAAAGCCAGGCATAGAAAGACAAATACCACATGTTCTCACTTATATAGAGAATCTAAAATAATCAAACTCACAGAAGCAGAGAATAGAATTGTAGCTACAGAGGCTGAGGGTGGGGAGAATGGGGAGACAATGATCAAAGGCTGCAAAATCTCAGCTAGTGGGAATACTTTTTCTTTTTGAAATCTATTGCACAGTGTGATAAATATAGTTAATAAAAGAGTATCTCATATGTTTCAAAATTGCTAAGAGAATACAATACAAATATTCTTAGTACAAAAAATTGTTGAGTATCTGAGGTAATGGATATGTTATCTGTCTTGATTTAATTATCCTATGTTGTATTCAAAGTCGTAACATCATTTTGTATCCCATAAACTTACACAGTTACAAATGGTCATTTTCAAGAAAATAAGAAAAAAGAATAAAGGTGAAAATAAACACATCCTCATCCAAGCAAAACCAAACTTCATGGCATTAGATTTTCAATAAAGAAACATTCAGAGCATGTAATTATAAAAGGAGAAAATGTTAGATAATCATGTTTGTTTATTAAGTATAACAAGCATTTTATTTTATTTAAAAATAAATTTCTTATTTAAAAATAGAAAATTTCTGAACTATTGGATTTTATAATTAATGCAGCATGAATTAACTGAGCTTAATTACCTGTATTGACTGTTTATACATTGGTTCATTCTTTAGGTCAAATGTCAACTACTTGGTAATCTGATATTAGAAATCTTTGAATTGATGAGATGATGTTGCATTGTGCCATGAAATTATACTGCATTATATAATGTTATAATTTAAAAGATTACAAGTAAAAAAAGTGAGATGTCAAGAACAAATACTAGTATTTAGTTTCTCTGTTTCTGTAATTAAGAAAAGTTCATTGCAATGTTGGCGTAGCCCCTGGAGTTTATACAAAGGCCAAATGCTGCAATAATGCTGTAATGATTTCAACATTTGTGCCTATAAAAAACCTAATACTAATGTCTAGGGCAATTTCTGAATATAAAATAGGTTTTGTGTTTTCTTATACATTTAATCTTATCAGTATCTAACTTGAACATGAGAGGTCTTACATAACAGGGAATTTTGTTCTATTGAGACATAGTATACAAAGTAATAAAAGAGCATTTATGGATGATTAAATATTGAAGTGAAGTTGAAGCATTTAATCTACTGCAAAACTCATTTAATGCAAACGTACCCTGGCAATATAGATATTATTGATATTACACTTGAAGGGAACATTTTCATCCAGTGTAGCTCATGGAAATTTAATTTCCTTGTTCTCTGAGAATTTGGAATTTGTTAGACTGTGTCCATTTCCAGTACAATTTTTCAGTGGAACATAAAATGTACTCTTACATATTAGCAAATAAGTTAAGTGATTAAAAAAAAAAAAACCCCACACTGCCAAACTAGGTGCTGTGAAGGTAAACTCACTATAACGGGTGAAAATCACAATAAGTAAAAAGTAAAAACAAGCTATTTTGAACTTATCACGAAGTTGATTTTGATGTCCATTTTATGATATCATTCTGTTTTATTTTTTGATAGACTTTGCAATCAAACACAAACTGGACCAATCTCAGATCAAATATAAATTGGTACTTCTTAAATAAACATTAGCAATTGCATTTGCAGAAATTAAACAAACAGATAAGCTTAGGATGTTTAGGTTCATTTAGATAGATTTCTTTTTCTTTTTTTTTTTTTGGTTTCTCTAAGATTTTGCCCTGTACCTAAATAAAACATCAGATTCTGGATGCTGAACACCAATCATTAAGCGGCTGTGGTCTAGTCCAATAGGCTTTTTGTCAATTATCTCTAAATCAAAATAAGTTACAAATACAATCAACAATAGTTTTATTTCAATAACTGCCAAATATCGACCTGGACATTTGCTGGTACCAAATCCAAACGGCATTATGAAAAACTTCAGTTTTTTGCCTCCTTTGAAAAAGGTGGTTTTCTTCTTACCATCTTCAATAAAACGATCAAATCTAAACTCCTATAAAGAACAAAACACAATGTCAAAATTAAAATTTTACATGAAATAGTTTGATTTCAGGTCCACAAAATTACTAGCTTTTCCTGCCTCTTTTAAAAGATTCTTTCAATCAGCAACACCAGAAAGTAAAACTTGATTATGTACAAATCATTCATGAATTTCAAAAACAAAACAAAGCCCAAAACTCATATGCTCCTAGGAAATTACTTCCCCATAGTCAAGTGAAGTCCAAACACCATATGATTTCTCTTCCCTATTCACATTTTCTCCTAATGTCTTAGTCAGTCTTCTGTTGCAATTACAGAATATCTGAGAATAAATAATTTATAAAGAAAAGAGGTTTATTTTGTTTCATGATTCTGGAGACTGAGAAGTTCAAGAGCATGGTGCTGATAAAGGTCTTGTGCTGCTTCATTTCATGGTGGAAAGCAGAAGGGCAACTGGGCAAATTTGGAAGAGGTAGGCTCACTTTATAATAACCCACTGTTTAAAAAAATATTTTGTAGTTATAGATGGACAGAATGCTTTTATTTTATTTGTTTATTTTTATGTGGTGCTAAGGATTGAACCCATGCTCACACATGCTAGGCAAGCACTCTGCCACTGAGCTACAGCCCCAGCCCTAATAACCCAATTTTGAGGTAGCCAGTCCAGTCAGTTCCAAGAAAGGCCTTAATCCCTCTTAAGGATACCTCTTATGATCCCCACTGCCAAGATGGCAGACTTCAACATGACGTTTGGAGGGACAAACCATATTCAAGCCATAGCACCTAAACTGAGCTTTGTAAGTGTAGAAGCTATATCTCTATTTTTTTCTCTAAGGTGGGTATTGACATATTGGGTCTTGACATATTGGCCCTTGATATACCAATTTTGGGTAGGAGACAGCTGTAGCACTGTCATTGTTACCAAGGAATAAGGAATCCTAGTAGTCACAGAAGCAACGTAACTGTGGATCCCTAATTTTCTTTTTCCTTATCCCTTCCCAATCAGCTACTGATGAATGAGAACTATGAGTTTTGGATCCAGTGTTTATGTTTCAATTAAATAAATTTAAAATAATAAGATTCAGATAAAGGCTAGAAAGAACCTAAGCCACAAAAATCAATTTTGCTTGTTTTTTGATGTTTAAGGAAATTTCTCCTGTGAAATTTCTACTTCAGTGAAATCTCTTTGGATTAACTCTAGGGTGGCAGACGGTTCTGGTATATTTAATAAATATATTATTTGCTACAGAAAATGATGAGACTGTTTAATCTAGAGTGTTTGGGCTCACCATCTTAATTTTTCCATGCTACCAAAGGGGTATGGTTCAATCCTCACTTGAGTTTTTTTAGAGAGGACTGAATGACCTTATTTCAGCCCATGGTGAATTAAACCATTGATTAAATTAAGTCTTGTGACCTGCATGAAAATGACCATGTAGTTCCTGTAGTTGGTGCTCATTAATATTCGACCTGTTTTGGCACACAAGTTTGATATAAACTACATGACAGCAAATGCAAAGAAGTAGGTCAAATAAAAGGCATTTTAGATTCTGGTGAAAACTCTATAACACATGGATGGATTCTGAGTCCATCAAAGATGATCTTATTTTCTCACTCAACGGTAGTGTGGTTAACATCAATGAATCATTTCCTTTCATAGCATTGAGTTTACCCTCATCTACCTAGAACACTTATTTGAGCTAGAAAAATTGGGGGTAGTTTCTAGTCTCCTTCAATTTGCATATGCAGTAATAATGACAAAATCCATCAGAATTTTAATAATTGTTTTATTTCCTGACATGCCAGTTCTGGGATGTATCCAAGTAGGATCTAAACCAAAATATCTGTTCATTCCTGAAGGAAGAACAGTCTGTGTTGACATACACTGTTACTAGAGACACTACTTATGGAATAAACTCTGCTGGTGAACTTCTAGGGACCAGGCATGCTTGCCTGGACTTAGTCCTGGTGCCTCCTGCTGACCAGTTTGAGAAGACTAGCACTCTTCCCCAGAGCTCCCCAGGGAAGTGAACTTTGCTATGAAATGATCCGTTCAAAACTAAACGTAATATATGTTAATGCAAAAGGAAACCTTAGCATAGGTTATCACTACAGTGTCCTGATATCACAAATAAACCAGAAACCATCATGGTTTTTCAGGTTCTTTGTGAAAATCATCGTGCTGCCCTCTGAGAGGCCACAGTGCCCATGACTTTCAGTGAGTATTCATAATCAATTTCCTCTAGCCTCTAGTCAATCATTAATGCCACTCCTCTAGTTTTCTGTTCCCTTCTATTTCATTTCCTCATAATAAACATCTTGGAAATTTCTATTTTGTTATTTATTCTGTAAAACTAAAATATAAATGACCAAGGTCTTTTACTCGGTGATTATCATCACATGGGTATAGATATGTTTCTGAGTTAAAATTTATTTTCAGTTTGTTCCACTACTTACACATGGAGAACCTAACAGAAACTAATTTTAGAAAGGACTTTGCTAGGGATACAGTTTGGTTTTTAGCCAAAAGGAGAAAGGATATTATAATCTCACTCCTGAGATTTTGGGGTCATAGTGACAGAAACATAGGGTTAAGAAGCATAAGATGGATCCATTCATTTGGGTCCACTTAAACTTAGGATTCATCATGCTGACTTAAATCCTATGCACTGATCATACAAAGCTCAATACTTCATAATTAAAGAGGGTCAGTTAAAAGATGAGAATAGGGAAATAATTAGAAAAGGTGTAAGACACTGAAATTCCCCATTGCCCCTTTAACAGAGTCCCCAGTATCACTCATACAGAAGTATGAGGTTTATCTAGGCACCAATCTTGGTAATCACAATTCTCTGGCCTCTGTCTGGTTTGGGACAGGACGTGTGAACCAATCTGATCAGTGCTATGAGGGAAAAATCTGTAGGGACATCTAGGAGCATTCTTCTCTTGTAAAAAAAGAAAACCAGAAAAGAAATGGTTCATTATCCTTCTTTCTCAGGGCCTGGTGATTTGTGAACATGGTGTCTGGAACTGCCATAGCCATCCTGCCACTAGGCAAGGTGAAGCTAACTCGCAGAAGATGGCAGGGTCAAGAAACCCCAGGGCGGCGGAGCTGGGACACTGTCTTATTTATCTCTATATTTTCAAAGTCTCTAACATCATGTTATTTTCCACAGTCGAGGTTCCACATTTGTTTGTTAAATTAATGAACAAACACAGGAGAGTAAAGTTATATTTTAAAACCATATTGGAAAAACATGGACATTGAATAAGAAAAATCATCATATAGACAATGAGAAACAGGTAAATATTCAGTATTTCTAGGTAGTAGAAATGGTATACTATTGAAACACATGAAATCAAGATTGAATAGAAGATCCTATATTCTGAATAGAGGAGAATTTTTGGTATACATGACAGTGGAAGATTGCATAACATCCTAATTTGTGTTTTCCAAATACTGTGTTTAGTTCAGTTCAACAGATTTTTCCTCCCTCCCTCCCTCCCTCCCTTCCCCTCTCTCTCTCTCTCTCTCTCTCTCTCTCTCTCTCTCTCTTTGTTTTTAGCATTTCCTGTATAAGAAGCATTGAAGCTACAAAGATTTAAAACATGGTCCTGCTGAGGTAGGTAACCCATGATAGGCTCATGTCTTATATCCAATTTATAAGTTGGGTATAGCAATTGAAATTAGACAAAAGAAATGACTTCATAGTAATAAACACAACCTGTCAGTGTTTTGAATGGATGACTAAGGGGCCACTGCTTTGCTGCCTTTAGTTATAGCCCTCATGAGGGGAAAGATGACAAAGTATGGAAGTTCCTTTTTATTTCCATGACTTGGGTTCAAGTCAGCTGTGAGATGCAGTCAGCTGCTGCCAACTTGTGATAGGTTGGTACACCTTTCCCAAACCCGTGTTTTGGGGTCTTCAAGTTGGTAACATGCAATCTACCATGGATGGTATTATTTACACCATGAAAATGGACAAACATTACAAATCAGAGCTTTTTAACACTTTGATATATAAGGACACAACTGGTTTCAATACTGTAGGTATGAAGTGCCAGTTTACTGGTAATGGAAGAAGCGTTGTCCACACAGAGGATCTGGCTGTGAGAACATGGTTGCATAATAAGGCTCGGCTCCTATACTGTGGACTCTTAGGCAAGGGCCAGGAGTGTTACCCTTTATGCCTATCACAATGCTTTTGAGTAGATGCTCAGTAGGTTTGCTTCCTTGAAGTTTATTGATGACACAATCTTTATTCCTTGTTGAAATACAGACAAACTTTATTAGGATTATTTCCTCATTTGTCATAACTGGTTTATTTTAAGAACATTAATAATAATAAAAATAAAATGGATACCACAATTCCTGTAGTGATTTTGAATTTTCTCAAGGCTTTCAAATTCATGCATCATTTTCTTATGCCTACAACTCTGAGGAGTACATAGAGTAGAACTACACTAAGATAAACATGACCTTTCAACTTCAGAGCCTTTTGGGGGCATATTCCAAAGTATTTGGAATTCCACTGTCATTTTACCATGTTTCTTTACCTTTGGAGGCAGTGTGCTGATAATAAAGTACTCTTGTCTTAAATACTTGCTGTGTCTTTCTTATAGCCTAATAGTGTCATTGAGCCTTTATCCTTTAGCATTTCTAGGCCTGGAAATATGAATCAACAGATTTGGTCTTTTCCATAGCTCCAGTTCTGGATATCACTGCATTCTGACAGAAAAGAAATCATCACCATTTCTTTCTGATTATTTGATAAACAGTTACATGAGTTCTGGCTAGTAATAGATGTACATTTAGAGTAGCCCTCAGAAAAACTTAAAAAGCTATTCACTCCTAGCTAACTAATGGAGTATCTAGACTTTGTTGGATAGCATGTCCTCTAGAGAGAGAGAGAGAGAGACAGAGAGGAAGAGTCAAAGGGGTGTTATTTTGCTCTCACTCTCATTGTAAATTTCACTTGCCAATTTATTTTCCCGCACAGGCAAGATTCACTTGAATGCTCAACATAACAGTAAGCTAAGCAACCAATATTCAGGAAAAGAAAAATTCTTAACACAAAAGTTACATGCTGGCAGCTTATAGGCCAAATTAGGTCTTGAAATATCTTTTTCTTATCCCATATTATTTTAGACTTCAATTTTCCAAAGTCATTTTCTTTAAAAGAAAAAAAAAAGAAGGATCAATATGATGTGCCCAAACTAGATCTAAAGGCTTGCAAGAATTGAGGGCTCATTCAGAAGTATCCACTGTTCCCACTGACATGCTTTACAGGGTCTCCTCTCACCATAGTTCTTACCACTCTCCAATTGTATTACTATGCTTATGAACAAGTCACTTCCCCCTCCCGCTGTCCTCAATTTTGGTACTGAGGATTTAACCCAGGGGCATTCTACCATTGAGCTACATCCCCACACCTTTTGTTTTTTATTTCAAGACAGGTTCTCACTAAGTTGTGTAGGGCCTTACTAAGTTGCTGAGGCTGGCCTTGAACTTGCAATCCTTGTGCCTCCTGAGTCGCTGGGGTTACAGGTGTACATCACTGTGTCCAGCACAAGTCAGTTCTTCATTTGATCTGTGCTTACTCCCAGTGTATATGTAAATGTGTGCTATCCTGATTTAAAGTTTTAACTGACGTATACCTTCAGTGCATTTATGTATCCCATCATCCCCTTCATTATTTAGCTGACCATGGATGATGTCCTATGTTGGGGGGGACTGAAAGAAGTAACTGCCAAAATACTGCAGTATGCACCATAACAAAGCGGGCACATGCCACAGAGTGGGCAATGGCAAATTCTCTGGAATAATGTGGAAATCAGAAACATCATCAAAGAAGATGTGATTAAGGTTATTCTTGTGGAGTAACCTAAAGCTTGCTGGCGGACAGGGAGGGAGGGACACTTCATGAATACAGAAATGTGGGAATAAAAGCTCTAAAATGGTAAGGAAGACCTTGGCCTGTTTTGGAAAGCAACATTTTAGAGCCTTTGGGTCTCAGAAATTCTGAAGCCAAGACTAAGTGAGTTGGGAGAAGCTGTGTCTATTAATCCTCTCAGGCCTCTATGTCCTCCAAAGCAGCTACACCTGTATTCAGAGTTAGTCTTTCTAGTAGTTTTGGCCCAATAGCAATTGTCTGTTTTCTATATCTAAAACCTGGTCATCTCATTCAAAGTTTATAGCCTAGGCTGGTAGTGATGAATATACATCTCTCATGAGCTTGTGGCCCCGTGTTCTTAGTGAGGAATGGCCATGGATAGGATTTTACAGAATTTTCTTTTTCTACTGTCAGTATGTGTTGTTTTGGGATGCTATGTGAAGATCTATAGCATCTTCTTCTTGCTATCTTAAGTTGTTACGAACCAAAGGAATAACTTTATATGTCTGATGGTGGTAGGTTTAGTAAATGTTTGTAGAATGAATGATAAGAACTGGACAATCATATTAAAGTGATTCTTAACTGTATCTTACTTAACTTTTTTTTTCCTGTGCTAAGAATTATCAGCATTTCCAAAATTAATTTCAGGGTACTATGGCAAAAATTAGCTAGTTAATTTTAAAATCAGTTAGGCATTATTGGCTAATGTTCAATCTAGTAAAGAATAGACACTGCTCCTCAACTCAAGTTACAGCTACTTTAATGATGCTAAGTCAATATTCAAAATATTGCATTTTTGTTCTTCTATTGATTTAGTATGGGCTAAACCCTCATGATTACTATCAAGACTGGGCAGTTTATTATGTAACATTTGGTCATTGCCACTGTATTCCACAGGAGAAAATTTCTTAAAACACTTTCCTTTTTTGTTTTTAACTTTGGTTTTTAAATTCCTAAAGTTCTAAATTGAGGTCTTTTTTTTGTTTGTTTTATCACGGGGGTGAAGACTGGTAAAAACTGGGAGTACTATAAAGAATGATGCCAAAAAATTTAGTGGTAATCTGGTGAACATTTACTGAGTGTTTGTTGACAATTTTAATGTAGCAAACTTAATGACTAGAGGAATAATCACAATGTAAAATGAAAGTAGAAGCTAAGTGAAAAACTATAAATAGAAATGAAACTATTTTAATATTTAGAAACATTTTTCAGATACTAACTATGTGTTTGTCTTATTTATTAAATATGTACTTGTGAGTGAAATTTTATGATATTTACAAATGTGGAGATGAAGCTTGTTGTCCACAGAGTATTCATTTACTTGCTAATATTCTACAAGCTATTGGCGATCATCATTCACCTAATGCCTCTTTAGAAATGGGTGGAAATAATACATACATTCCCACACTAAGATATTTGCTATTGCTGATGAAATAAATGCAGATTATGTTACTATTATTTGAACTCTGATTTCTTTGTGTTAATTTCTAAAATTCAACAATACTATAATTCAGCCTAGCTGTAAAACATGTAACTTAGAAACTAGGATTTAAAAGTGACCCAGTTATTAGTTACTCTCCTTATATCAAAGAAGACATTTGGCATTTGTTTTTTAGGGATTGGCTAGCTTCTCCACTTGAAGCAAAGTGTGAAAGATGATATATCAAGAACTATGTAATGTTTTGAACAACCAACAATAAAAAAAAAATAAAAAAAAAAAAAATAAAAAAAAAATAAAAGTGACCCAGTTATGAAGTGCTCAAAAAGAGCACAGAAGTTCCCCTTTGGAAAAAAATAAAAAAGCATTGTATATACAAAAACAGCTACAACAACAATTACTTTCATGAAAAGCACAAAAAGAATATGACTGCCTTCAATTTGCATGCAGGTGGTGAATCTCTGAAGTGGTATTAAGGGATGAATCGGGTGGATTAATTTCCAGTCTTTGATATTCATTAACTCCAGCTTCAAAAAAAAAAAAAATACAAGGAGATGACACAATTACCCTCAGAGCTTCACCAGTGAGCAGCAGCTTTACAATCTCAAGTTCATAATGCCATACTAATTGATCAAGAAGGGGCATATACCTTTAGTGAAAAAGTACTTGGGCTTTACTATAACAATGATGGTATTAGTCTTTGGGAGAGTCGACTTTACTTTGCAAATACTTAGCAAAAGAGTCGTCATTATTTATTTGCTTTGCCACCTGTCAAGAGTTAGGCCCTGCATGGTTTTCAGTAATTCTCTGCCAAGCAGAACTTAATTTTGGCCTAAAGGTAATAGTGGCCAAGGTACAATATTCCATTTCATTTAAAGCAAATAATATTTAGTCTGATCACACTATTTCCAGTTGTAGATCACACAACCTTTCAAAGATGGATCCTTCAAAAACACTTTAGTAAAGAAACAAACTATCTTATTAGAAAGAAAAACACAAGTCATCAAGCTGTCTCAGATCTCTTCTGGAACAAAGTGGCAAGAGGAAGAGAGATCATGAAGAAGAGAGATGTTCTTGCACTAAGAAGAAGCGATGACTGGCTTGATGCTTATTTACCTCTGGAGCTTCAAAGATTTCAGGATCACCATGTAGGACTGGAGGAAAGAGGGCAATCAGGTCTCCCTTTCGCAGGCAGTAGTTGCCGTTCTCTGAACTGAGAGTGAAATCCTCTTGCACAAAACGAATGCTGCTGGAATACGAGTGTAGCCGCAAAACCTCAAGAATGATGCTATCTGAAGGAAACAGACAAAAGCTTACTGAAAAATTGCTGCTTTGAAAGGTGCTTTCACTTAGACAGTAACACTCAATAGCCGTGATTGAAAAGGGAAGGCATTTCTTCAACACATCCATTGAACACCAAGAGGGAGCCAATGGGGGCTGTGGATGGCAAGGGTCAGGAGTGGGGTGGCCTTGCCCCAACATAGCTGAGGGGGGTATTTCACAGGTAAGAGTCAGCAGTGCTATGTTCAGGCAGAAAGAATGTTAAGGGGATACACAGCATACCCTTGGAGAGTTAAATCATATTCTACTTACAATACACTCCTATTGGGTTATTTGACCAACCTAAAGCCAGGCTAAGCCATTTAATTACCATTTAGGCAGTGAATAGTAAAGTAATTGAGTAGTACTTTCTGAGACAGCTTAACACTTAATTTCTTTTATGCTAGCTGTAAATAAAATGTGAGTCAGCATTTGTTGGAAAAATTTCAAACAAAAATACTTTAATAAGATTCAGAAGAAAACCATATTTTCCACAGTATCCAGGGAGAATAACAGTCACCATCATCTCCTGGAAGATTCCAGAAGCCGAATGTCCTTGCTTTCCCAGTGGCCTTCACCTTTTGCTCCTAGCACGACAGATTTTATGGCTAATTTCCGGCAATTTATCCTGGCAGTTTGAGGAGGAATTCCTTTGGGAATAATATGCATAATTTGCATAAATCATTCTGATAGCATGCATATCAGCGTGTAGCTCCTGTCTAGGTCTGCATCTCTCCCTTCATAATCAAAACTGACTATGTTTCCACCAGCGTGAATGGGTCTTAGAATATAAAGCTTGATTCTTTCTAATCAGCAATGTGAAAAGAGCTCCAAATGGAGTTTTTTCCCCTTTCACATGATAACAAATGGTTGTGTTTATGACTTGCAATTTAGCAATCACACACACACACACACACACTCGAAGGCCAGTTTCTTATTGTTCAGCAAAACTCTGACACACTGAGTATCCAATTATTAGATTATTAAAGGCAGGACCATCAGGGAGGGCTTGCATCTGGCAAAAATAAAAATAAGTGTTATTTCAGTAAAATTTCAATCTATGCACAGCCTGCAAAGGGATATGAAGTAGCTTTGGGTGCCTTCTCCCAGGAGGTTTTTCCTTAAGCATGCATTTGTCTAAAGAAATGAGGCTGCGGTCAGCTCTGTGTGGGCAGTGTGGTGATTCAATGTGACGTACAGTGAGGCTGTGCATATTCTCTTGGACTGCCTTCGTTATTATAATCAGGCAGAGTCAAATCGGTTTGCTGGTGATGAGGCCAGAAAAGAACTTTGGTTTTGGAACATGGACTCTACTGCAGATAGCCACAAGGCACCTGACACGACGGATTTCAGCTGGCAGGACACCAACAACCAACATTTCTATGGTGAAAAGCAAGGGTCGGCTTCCCATGTACTGCTGCTGGCCCTGTTGGACCAACAATAGCGTAGCATCATTTTAGCTTGTGGTGTGAAATGGTAGCTGACATATGTAGCAGTGCTGTTCACCCAACAAGTCCAGTAGGGGTGTGGGAAGAAGAAAAACAAAAGCAAAATAATGGTGGGGTGGCTGCTGTGACAGGGCAGGCATTTAACAGTCCAAATAACATGGTCACATCCGATTGGCCAGTATGCTCTCAGGGAACATGGCAGCTTGCGCCCACTGCAGTATCACAAATGACAATTGGGCAAGCATATCTTATGCAGAAGTTAATCACAATAATGGAGCTCAAAGTGTGGCTCAGCAGTCAGATCGTAAGTGACAAATCTGTTTTACCTTCCAGTACCAGTTATGTGTGCAAGACGAGGTTGGCTCTCGCTCTGAGCGATCATGCCGATAATCATTAGACGACAAAAGTAATGAGTTGCGTTATTATCAGCAATGGAGAGTCAAGCTTACGGGGCTCTGCAGTACCACATACAGACACAAAAGCCAGCAGCTTTTCCACCAGCCCCAGCACAAATTCGGGCAGAGCTATATGTTGAGAAGAATGACAACTGCACAATAAAAAAAATTGCAGCCTCTACTTGTAGTTGTCATAGTTGAGCAGACACCAGCCAGTGCCACTGACAGACCAGCTGGGCCCTGGGAGGACTTCCATGCTACACCAGGAGGTACAGTAAATTATCCTGCACGGTAGAGCAACATCTGTTTCTGTGCTAGTGCCGAACAAACAAGGCAATTTAAAACATACCAAGGGATAACCAAGCAACAAATGAACATGACCCTCATTTTTTCCCCCTTCTCACACACGAGGTGCTAAACTTCATTGTGCAAGCATTCCATGAAAGAGAAGCCAGGTTTTTATTTGATAAGGTGTTGTCAGAGAGATTTTACATATTTCCAAAATGGAAAGAAAAAGCTTATAGTATTGTTATTCTTAGAATCTTCCCCCTTCTATCTTCATTTCTTTTATACCAAAGCTAGCACTCAGTTCTCAATTCGCTCTAGAATTTAAAAAAAAAAAACTTTCCACATACTTATAAATATTCAGTCTTTAAACCTAATTTGCTATACTTAGTTCACATGCCTTCAAGCATTTGTCTTCCAATTTCCACTGAATAAATGCGTACTAATGAGAACTAGAGCAAGCTGCTGAGGCAAAGCTGGGTGACTTGGGTCTGGCCTGCCACCAGCTTGTGATAGGCGGGCAAATTGAGTTAAAATGAAAAGTCTTGTCAGCTGAAATTCAACATGGTAGCCAAACAGCAAGCTGTCAATCATCCAGCCAAAACAAGGGACTGCAGGTAATAAAAGGTCATTGTGAATCATTAGTGTACTTGGCTTTCATATGGAAGTTAATTTTAATTAAACATGATCTCTCTCTGTAAATGTTTTATAAAACTTATTGTGCATAATGGATTGTTAATTTACACTAACATTTAGCAGGTAATAGGACCTTCTAATTATTAGAATGCATTGTAGAAAAATGGCTATCAAGATTGCAAATATTTGGGGGATAAAATTTACACCAGCCACTGCAAGGTGCTAACAATTACAAGTGTGATTGAGATAAGGCTGCCTGTGTATTATTAAGAACCGAGTTTACTGATTGGTAATGAATACACAAGGAAAGCGGATTACAAAAATTCCCACAACCAACTCAAAATTTTGGGTCTGTGCTACCTCTTTTACCTGGCTAGCAAAGACTTGTTTCTCTTATCAGGATATAAAACTATTCGGATGAAGTGTCCCTTCTAAGCAAAGAGCTGAGGACGTTTTACAATATAGCTGGAGGAAAATAGAAAATGAAAGGATATGCTGGCAGAAAAAGGCACATATACTTTCTCTTTTGCTCTCAGTTCTCAACTCTGGCTGGAATAATTGACAAATGACTCTCATCTGCAGATTTAAAGTACTAAAGCAGATCATGACAATCAATAATGCATGTTACAATGCAAATGCAGATAAGCACATCAGGGTTTCTGCCTCACACTTAGGCCATGTCTGTATACGTGGAATGAATGTACTGTGACATGGCCAGGCTGTTAATTTGGGTCATCTTAATGATCGGTGCAGGCTGGCATGCCATCTGATTAGCCATGGTGATCACCGGATAGCAGTGATGGCTGGAGTGAAATGAACAGTCAGGCCTTGCTGAAGTCACTGGGGCTGAACACTTAGGCGGTCTTAAAGAGATGGTGGATGGGAAAGGGGAAAGGAAGGGTGGATATGAATACACTCTGTTCCAGAAGGTGTGTTGAAATGGAGTGAGGCTCAAGATATGTGTGTATCTGTGTACACAAGTGTCTTGACATAACCTCTTCCAGTCAGATGAGGAGGTAAAAAAGAAATTGTGATAACTGATCATAAATTTAAAGCAAAATCACAATTTCTTGGCTCAACAATTGTGTATTTGAATAAAGTTAAAAGTAAGTCTGAGCTGGTATGAAGTTCTACTTTCCTGTGTGTTGCAGACACAAATTTGGGTTTACTGCTAAAATACATAAATGTAAATTCAACATTCATATATTCAACAAATATTTATTAAGTTCCTACTCTGCTCAGAGCACTGAGCCACTGTTGCTGGTGAGGAGAGGGACAGCAATATGGATCTGACCTTCATGCACACAGCATATAGGGAAGAGTGCTCTTGAGATTCTACATAAGACACTATAAAATTTCCTTTTAAATTCATTTTAATTGATAGATGAAATTTGTATTTATTTATGGCATACAATGTGATGTTTAAAAATATGTATGCACTGGGGAGTGGCTAAACTGACCTAATTAACATATGTATTACCTCATATACTTATCACTTATTTGTGATGAGAACACTTAAACTCTATTCTGTTGGCAATTTGATATTGTGCAAATTCTGATTGTATAACTCCAGTGATGACATCCTGAAAGCCCATTTTAGTGAAAAGTTATGCTTCACATTGAAGTGAAATTTTCTTCCCTTTAATTTGCCTTTCCCTTCATACCTTTATAAAACATAGGTAGAAAAGTCTAATTCCTCTTCCACATAACAACCCTTTAAAAATGTGTCAAGACAACTCTCATGCCATTTTCTAATTGTGTAAAGACAACTATCATGCGGTTCTCTAATTGTGTGTCAGAGATGATAAGGTAGTCAGTCTTTTGATGCACTGGATGAGTTCAATTAGCCAATGTGCCTCTTAAAATGTGGCAGAACTGGATGTACTATTTCAGTTGGAAAAGTAGAGAGGAATTCTTCTGTGTCCTAAACACCAAACGTTTACTGAAATTCCATGGGAGTGGAAGAGGAACAGACTTTGAAATAATCTTCACTGGCTTGTTTTAAGTTTTCTGATATCCCAAGTTATCTGAAGTCCTGGCTGCCCATTAGAGTCACCTGGGATTGTTTAAAATAAATACTCCATCCCTGCCAATAGACTCAGAACCACTGCATTAACTAAAACCTTGAAATTACTGGTTTTGAAAGTTGGCTGTGCGTTTGAATCATATCAGGATTTTATAAGGCCATCAGCCCTCACCCCAAAACAA